TATGAGAAGATTTCGAGAAGATAACATTACGTTATTTTATTTCAATCTATTATATTCTTCAATATACATTTAACCTTGTTTGAATTTTCGGTTCGAACTTCAGTTAGTATTTGATTATTACCCATTAAATATTTGCATTATCGGCTTCCAGTTCATTTAGTAACTTCAAGGGATAATTCCCGAAGTTCCATGTGAATTTTAAATCAGTGGACCCTGAATTTGTCGGGCGTGAGATAAAACACGTGATAACCAATAATGGTTACGTAATTTCATAAATTAATTGAAGACAGAACTGTATACGTTTGAAGGCTGATCCAGTTCAATGGTCAGAATGTGTAGGTTCAATCTCTAGCAAAATTATGGGTACTCATTGCTGAGGTATCCTTTACAAAGATAAAACGTCTGTCTATTATTTTTTTAATAACTTGTTGACCAAAGTCAGTTCATGATATGAAACTTTAAGTAGTTTTTGTTAGCTTTCAATCCTATCTTTCGAAACTAGTTTGTTTTTATGTAGTCACAGTTTCTGTCTAAAAGATGTCGTTTTTCAAATTTCACTCCTTATTGATAATTCAATCAATAAACAGAGACAAGTTGTTTGTTATTAACGTCCTTAAAAATTCGAATATCACTAAAGACATGTAAGGATATGTTGCCTTCCTAATTTTAGTTTGTGCGACAATAGTAGTCTGTTGTCGATTACAGATACATTTCAGGAAGATACTTTTGGATCTAGAAAAAAAAACTTTTTATCTTTCGAAGGATTTAATTCAATTCAGTCTCTACTTTTATTGTAAATATTACAAAAATCTCAAGGTTTTATAAAAATTGCATTAGTATTATAAATTTGGTTCCAATTAAGTCATCCGATCTATGACAATAAATATGTAATTCTGTAATTTCTTTTAAGTTGTGCTACTTTAAGAGTTATACCCAGTTTACTGTTCTCGTGGTGTTGTTGCCGAGGTACTCCTACTCATTGCGTTCTCGTGACAGGGGTGTTATTTACGAAAGTGAGAGGAACAAAAGTGAATGTCCGGCACTTTAACCAGGTCGGCGGATATGGAGGGTCCATCTAGGAGAGTTGGAAAACCCTGATTCTAAACCAACGGAGCAAATGGACTTCACGATCGCGAGGGAGCAAATGGAGTATGAAGTTATTGTTAGTTAACGGCTACCATGGGACTACATCTCCTAACGTTGCTCCACTGCCTTGTGGATTAGACCTCTAGGTCAAAGGCTCGGGCAGTATTCGCCTAAGAGAACCACTCGATTCGGTTTGGGTGTCCGGATAGAATTTCAGCCCTCACACAAATCGAATGAAGTGTGGCGCGTATATATTTGGTGCCTCCTTATATCAAGGTTTGTGTTCAAATAGGTAAAAAATTAATATCAATACTTGATAACTGGTCATATAATATATGAGGTCTATTTTTGTAGTTGATCGATAAAATTCGTTCAACCTAAAAGGATTAGACAAACGTGACATTACTTACTTCCAAGTGAGTAATCAGTTGTAAATATCTCAATTTTACAGAAGGTCAGTTATTGTCCGAATAGTGTAGTGGTAACATTGCAGACTATGAATGTTCGTGACGCGGAGTCGGATTTCATAGAAAATATCAGTTTCTTCGAGATTATATGTATATTTTGCTTGTGAACTTCAGGTCCAAGTTTTCCTATCTACTATCTTCAACCACTGCGACGTCGAATCACTCACTTCAGCGATCGAATAGCAGCTTGATCAACAGAATCCGATGAATACTGAAAGACCAGACAAACATATCATGTTGGTCACTACCCAGTCATCAACCTATTATAAATAATTCATCTTTAACAAGTCTTCGGTTATCATACTTTTTATTGCAGGTATTCTAATGTTATTCACGACAATAGTAATGTAGTGAACGAAAACTCAGTTGGAGATAGCTAATTTTTTGTTTAATGCAAAATTACAGAGTGCTTTCGCAAAATATAAAAAAAACCCACATGCTTCATGATTCTTTCAATCCCTCTGTTATTACAATTACTTTCCGCCTACAAGTGGTGCTATCTATTACTTATATCTGCCAACATAAATAGCATACACCACAGTGGTAATATTCCACATGTGTGTATATAGATTTCATGCTCTTGTTATTTTTTTCTATAATAATCAATACTCTTCTCAATTTTTCCGTTATTTTATATGTGAATTTTTGTTTTTATGCAAATGTGTGTAAATTAGTTTATTTGTATTTGTTAATATTTCATTATTTGATTAATATTACTATCATTGATTTATGTATTATCTGTATATAGTTTCCATTGATAGCATCATTATGTAATAAATTTATATTTCTTCCCGTAGCTATTGATACATTAAGATAGAATAAATACTTGTCTGTTACTCTTGTTTAGTTTGTAAGTACAAATATATCAAGCATGAATATCATTGTACATTGTTTCCTTTCCTGTAATTAAAATACCTTGTATAAAGTTATTTATCGACTAGCCTATTCATTATATATATGGTATAAAGCTGTACGTACACTGCTCACTAATATATAGATAGGATTAGTGTTGAGCGATAGGTTATTAAAATATACATTAGTCTTATCAGTTTCCTTTTATTCTTTATAAATTATTAGTATTCTCATAAGGATAAAGCATTTAAATGTGTTGTTTATAAGAGTCTATTATCATTTCATTGTTTGTTTGGTTAATTTTTGAGATTATGTTTCATACTGGAATATTTATATGAACCATTAGTCCTCATTAAAATTAGTGTTATTGAAAAATTCAGTGCAATGTTTAAAAATGCTAGTTATCTGGTATGTTTCACTGTCAATATCCAATTTTAAATCAACATATAACTTCTTTTACTTCAATTAATATGATGGGAAACAAGATTTCGCGGTTTGTTCAATGGCATTCATACCCTCAGAATACAAATATTTGAAATTTTATGTTTTTAAAAAGGGAATTCATAGACGGTAATTTGGATATTCCTGTTAACTTTATAGATTTGTTTGTTCATCCAATAAATAAGTGAATTGAGATCACAAAACTCTTATTAACATAATTTTGGATTCCATAATCTTATCCCCTTTTAAATAAACCCTGCTTTTAGGGTGATACATATCTTCTATTCGTTTGCACTGTTCAACACATTTGTAACTGTCCTTATACGTCATGTTCTTTATTTACTCTGAACAAGTGGCTTACATTAAGTCACGGAATGTCAGAAATACAATTTTCTACTGATCGGGATATAACAAAAATATATTTTATAACAGCTCACGTACAATTGAGTTTGTTTGTTGAAAGTATAGAGTGCAGAAGTCTCTTCATCTCCGTAGCTTGCTGAGTTGAGTTCGACGGCGGCGGGCCCACTACTTTAGTGACCCCGGATCTGACTCCAGTGAGATCGTTTTTGATCGCTACTGAGATATATATATCATCAATCGTCGTATATAATTATCGACTTAGATCGCATTAGTGAATAACGGAATTAAATAAGTCAAATACGAGGATGGATTTTCAAATACATATATTTTGTACAATCGTTGATCGGAAGAGATAATCAGAAAGACGTAGCGAAGGAAGCGAAGAAGAGAGGGTGAGACGACGCGCAGTGGAGAAGGCATATGAACCAATTCCCTTTTAACCAAGCGTTAATCAGTAGTTATAGTCACACAAAACTAAGCTACAGACATGTGGTGAATGAGATAAGAAGGGCACACGTACGTTTACATAAAAACAATCACGGTTGATAAGTGAATAAATAATAAGGTCAAAATGTGACTCAAGGAGAATGAATAGATTGGCCCGTCCGAAATCTAAAATAAGGTATATGGGCTTAACGTAATAACCGACACCACAATTTTTTTTAAACTTTCTACTCAATGTTCAATTTAATCGAAACTGTCAAGTCTAACCTATGCATTGATACTATTGTTTTCAGGTTGTAAGCAGCTGAAAAGAATCTATGAATTAAACGAATTATTATCATTCTTACTTTATTAGAGTTTTTTAATGGAGAAAACATACCATGAAATTAAATTGTATTTTCATTTTATAAATCCTAAACAGTATTCCGCTTTTAAGTTAAATTATATTGTAATCTCATTCAATGACATTTTCATCGTCAGTCGATTATTCTGTTTGTTTCATTCAAGAATGCAACGTAAGTTACTGTTGCCACCAAACATTTGGTCCCCCTTCAAAGGTGTTTAATTATTCTTTTTTTTCATTCTCTTACAAATTGTACTCATTAATTCAGTGTAAAATGTGTTCAGTTTAGTAAATAAAGTTCAAAGCTTTTGTCCATAAAATAGAACATTGTAAGTTATGAAATAAAACTTATTGAACAGTTATTTGTCTCCTTAAAATGTTGGTTCAAATTATTATACAGTTGTGATTCTTCAGTGATATAAATTTCCGACATTTTTCATTTTACGAAACATGTATGTTTCATGCTTTCTTTTATCATCACTATAAATTATGATAGCGATCTATAAATCAATTCCAGTGTTCTTATTCCGTTTCTCATCATTTACAATCAATGTAAGTATATTTGTATGTAGGACTAAATTAAATCTTTTTAAAACTTTCTAAACTGATATGTCCCGAATCTCATAATTGCGCAAATACACTATATTTTCCTTTTCATGTTGAGTTTTAAAACTATGTTATATTTTTGTATTCTAGTAATTTATCCTTTTATCTCGAATCAGATTGTCTGTACTCAGTCTTTTCCACTGGCGTTGATACACTTACCACTACTGCTACTACTAAAATTGCAATTCGCTGTGCTAATATGATGTAGCAACTTCATCTGATCCGCATGTATACCTAGTTCTAGATTGCGTATAACTAAATCAAACATTTCTTGTCTATCAGTTTTTGGTAATCAAGGATTTTTAAATAATTCATATTATACTACCCATTATTTTATTTACTTTCTTTTTAATTAGATGTTTTCTTTCCACGTGTTTCTTTCTATTTTGATTTTTTAGGAGTTTTACGCAATTTAGTTCGTGCATCTGGCACTGTTGCTAAACCTGCAATACCAGCCCATCCAAGCAATCAACCTATTCCTGTTGTAAATCAATCTACTGTAGATCAATTAGTTAGCTCGCCTATTAGTTTAGTGAGTCATACAGAAACTATGATTGATGATAATAGTATTACCACTGCTGCTGCTGCTCTACCACTATTAGTAATATGAAATCTGATGTAGATACACATTCCACTGATTTTGATAAATTAAAATCTAATAATAATGTTGACAATTCTTTGATTTCTAGTAATAATACTATTAAAAATGTCTACAATGTAACCAATGATGAAACTAATGATCTATTAACTGATATTGCTCGTGTTGCATTCGATCGTAGTCATTCCACACCATGTAAAACTGTTATTAACAATGACGATAAATTATTACAACAACAACAGCAAATAAACACTTCAACGAATGGTCATTATTATCTAAATAAGAAATATTCTAAATTAGACGTTGATAGTAACCCTGTTAATCAATCTACTGCAACGAAAGAAGTAACTACAATATCTGACACCACTACTAATGCTATTGTTGACGATGATATCCAATCATTTAAGCGTAGCTCCCTATATGTCACATTTAATAAGGTGAGTGCTTTTATTTCCTTATTTTTTTGTCTGTTGAGATCACAATTTCTGAACTATTTCTATTTTGGCATGTGATATGTACAATATGACTGATAACCTAATTCGTGAAATAATACTGCTTTGTTTTGATGTAGATCATATTCTCTTTTTTAATCACATTAAGATAATATATTGACATATCTCCATTTGGTCTGTTTTTACATGTCCCATCTTCATTGATCAGTTGTTGATTGCTGAGATAGTATGACTAGTTTAATCAGTCAGTAACAACGTATAACTTCGTACGTACGTATATCAGTGATTCACATATCTTATTCCGGAGAAATTACTATTCTTTACACAGGTTTGACCAACCAAGAAGTCATCAGTATCTATTAGTTCCAAGCCTCAAACTGAAAATTCAACTTTTCCACGTTTTCTCATTTATAATTATTCATAATAAATAGAATATGATTACAATTTACACCTGAATGATCAGTCGAGTAATCCAGATTTTTCGCCAAGAAGTCTAAGTGAAACAAAAGCAGTAGAGGTTGTAAAATAAACACATATTGTGTGTGTCAGTCATCAGTAACAGCGTAGAACTTCGTACGTACGTACATCAGTTCGAGTTGCCAAACCATATTAGAACAGAGATGCAGTTGTCGACTCAAATCCCGTAGTGGTAGAGGTAGTAAGAGTATTAGCAGTAATCGGAAAGACTAGGGTTTTAAGATCTTATTCAAGAAGTGCAATACAATCAAATAAATTTGGGAAGAGTAAAAGAAGAGACAATGAGAATTTAGGAAACTAGAATTTGGGAGAACACAAAGAGTGGATGCACCTGCGCCATTGCAAACGATTTTGAGCCATGTCATTCACGGTCTCTAACCATCGATTGCTATCGTCTTGCGGATCCCAACCAGATAGTCTACACCTACCAACATGACTCAGTACACTTGTCAGTGACTTCATAGATTTGTGCCATGTTTTGATTTGGCTACCCCTAGCTTTTTTCCAACCTACTCCTACACCAGAAAACATCCCACTTCGGGGCAGTCGGTGGTTAGGCATATGTAACACATGTCCCAGCCATCTCAACTGATGAAGTTTCACTACGTCATCAATTGATTTGTTATCCTTACCTAGTACCCGTTTCCTAACAACTGTGTTACTTACTCGATGGCCCCAGGATATACGAGAAATGTTTCGAAGACACCTATGATCGAGTACTAGTAACCTACGGATATCCTCTACTCTTACCGGCCATGTTTCACTGCCATAAAGTAGGACGGGACGAACTGCTGCGCAGTAAACGCGTCCTTTGGTTGATAGATGGATATCTCGCCTACGCCATAAATGACGCAAGTTGGTAAAAGCTAGTCGAGCCTTCTGTATCCGTGCTGAGATTTCCTCACACACCAGACCACAAGGGCTGATGAGACTTCCAAGATAAGTGAAGCGATCGACACCCTCAATTACTTCACTCCCTATCATTAGTTCGGGTGTCAATGCAACCCAATCCTGAAGCAACATTTTACATTTCGAGGGTGAGAATCGAATCCCGAACATGCTTGCATTGTTGCTTAGAGTGGTCAGAAGACTCCGCATTTTGTCAGTGTCTTCACCAAATAAAACTATGTCATCAGCATATTCTAAGTCAACAAGTGAACCTCCCGGTAGAAGTTCAACCCCTGTAAATTTAGATGAGGAGAGTGTTATCTCTAAAAGTACGTCAACGACAAAGTTGAACAAGAATGGAGAGAGTGGACAGCCCTGATGAACACTACTTGAGGTAATCAATTCTAACGACAGTTCGCCTACATTTTACAATACATGACATACCATAATCTTTTCATTATGAGAAGCAATGTTTTATAATTTTCTGAAAATTTTCAGAATCTCTTCCATTTTCACTTGTTATTGATCTGCATCTTGTAGACCAGTGTACTAAAGTTTGTTCTTAATCTTAGCTAAGCAGAGGTGATTCGTGTAAACCACCTTTTCTTATGTTCTTTGCTGAAAATGACTGTGGTCCTCACAAACGTGATGGAATGAAAATCCAGAAGTATTATCACTGTTTTACGTGGTTTACTTTTCTTATTAAAAGCTTTTAATTCACTATGTCTAACGATATTTCATTTCCCATTAGAAAACTAACATACTTCCTACACATAGTGATTATCATGCATTTTCTCTTTGTTACCATCAATCCTGAATCAGAGTTCAATTTGAGCTAATTGCATACTTAACTATGACATAAATAACTAAATTATATATTAAGGCATCATATTCATTGGTTTACAAAGTCTAACCTAATTCTCACACAACTTCTAGACTATTGGGTCGGCATCTAACCGCTTATAGGTTTTCAGTGGTGCTTTAAGCTAGATCGATCCATGATTTCAATGGTAGTTAACAGTCTTCACAACCCCACACTGACAACAGATTAATAGTGGTTAGGCGAGTATTGTCGTCCTGTTGAAGTGCTCTCTTTATCACCTCGCACTGCTAGGGCAAACGATTCGAGTACGGGGAACTCTATTCCTGGTCTCCTGAAACCACGCTCTAAACTACACGTAGGAGCTTTTAACGTACGAACACTTTGCCAAATAGGACAGCAGGCTTCCTTAGCTAAAACTTTTGAATCTCGCGCCATCGATGTGTGCTGCGTCTCCGAAACGCGCATACAGGATCCGAGTAGCGTCATTCATTTGACCTCACCATGCCAAAATAAAGAACCGACTCGATTTACGCTTCGTGTATCTGGAAGCCCTGATTCTGCTTCCCGTGGCCTCGCCGGCGTAGGTATAGCATTGAGTCCTAGGGCAGAACTAGCTCTCTTAGAGTGGATCCCAGTAGACAGTCGTTTGTGTGCTGTCCAACTAAACGGAACAGTAAGGATCCAGAAAGATAGGGACACTCGTCGTTGCCTTTTCGTCGTCTCTGCCTATTCTCCCACTGACTGCAGCTCAGATGATGTAAAAGATGAGTTTTACAGAAAGCTCTCCGACCTTCTCCGAAAAGCTAGGCGCTCGGATGTAGTAATAGTGACCGGTGACTTTAATGCTCAAGTAGGTAAACTAAGCGATAGGGAAAGACACCTAAGTGGATCTTATGGTGTCGTAGCTCAAAGAACAGATAATGGCGACCGTCTGTTGCAGCTATGCTCAGATAACCGCCTGTTCCTTGCAAATACTAACTTTAAGCATAAGGAAAAACATCTTTTAACATGGCGACCCCCTAATTCGTCCCAACGTTGGACTCAAATAGATCACATCGCTATCTGCCACCGATGGAGGGGCTCGATAGAAGACTGTCGCTCATTCTGGAGCACATTCTTAGATTGAGATCATGCTCTAGTACGAGCGCGTATCTGTCTGCGTCTTACTGGACGTAGGAAAGACGCTGCAAGGAAACCTCTTAGGGTCCTACTTAATGATAGTCAAGCTAAGAGTATATCTCAGGAACAACTAGGAAAACAGTTAGGCAGCCATGTATGTGATGCTCACCCCGAGGCAGCATGGAATGATATCCGAAAAGCACTGAAAACAGCAGTGGTATCTGCTAGTACGGTAACCCGTAAGGTTAGGGAGCAACACTGGATCTCAGCAGCATCTATCGCACTGATAGATGCTCGAAAAGTCATTCCACCTGGCTCTGAACATAATGAGGAGCGGAGTCAGCTTAAGCGCAAGCTGACAAGAAGTCTACGCAATGATCGCGAACAGTGGTGGGTAGCGAAAGCAAGAGAGATGGAAAAGGCAGCGGCAATAGGTAATAGCAGACAATTGTTCAGACTTGTTAAGGAAACCGGTATTAGCAAACCGACTGTTAGCGAAACACTCTCAGAGAAAGATGGACATATTATTCATTCTCAATCCAGGAGATTGGATCGATGGGCAGAACACTTTAGGGATCAGTTCAACTGGCCTTCAGCCACACTTCGGTTTCCCACGATCTCTAGTCAACCTGACTCTTTACGAAGTTGAAAAAGCCATAGGAAATCTGAAGCGAGGGAGAGCAGCAGGCCCTGACAGGTTTACTCCTGAGATTTTTAAGGATGGTGGTCCAGTATTAGCAGTGAGATTAACTTAGGTCTTAGGTAGAATTCGGGAACTGGACGTAATCCCATCTGACTGGTCTCAATCACTGATTGTGCCAGTGTATAAGAAAAGACAAAAGTCCTCTTGTGACAATCACAGAGGAATCAGTTTGACTAATATAGTATCTAAATTATTAGCCTCAATAATACTTCGACGCCTAACTAAAGCTCGTGAAGAGCAGATTAGAGAAAACCAGGCTGGTTTTCGACCTGGACGTGGTTGTGTAGATCAGATATTCACACTACGTCAGGTTCTAGAACACAGACACTCGTTCAGACGCCCCACAATGGTAGTATTTCTCGACCTTAAGGCGGCATTGGACTCTGTTGATCGTGAGGTTCTATGGCAGTGTTTGTCACTGAAAGGAGTACCAAAGAAGTACATTAACCTTATACAGGCTCTCTACTCAAACACAACTGGTAGAGTGAGAGCTTATGGCGAACTGTCATCAGAATTGATTACTTCAAGTGGTGTTCGTCAGGGCTGTCCACTCTCTCCATTCTGGTTTAACATTGTCGTTGACGTGCTTTTAGAGATAACACTTTCTAAATTTCCAAGGGTTGAACTCCTACCAGGAGATTCACTTGTTGACTTGGAATATGCCGATTACATAGTTTTATTTGGTGAAGATGCTGACAAAATACAGTCTTCTGACCACTCTAAGCAACAATGCAAGCATGTTCGGGATTCGATTCTCACCCTCGAAATGCAAAATGTTGCTTCAGGATTGGGTTGCATTGACACCTGAACTAATGATAGGGAGTGAAGTAGTTGAGGGTGTCGACCGATTCACTTATCTTGGAAGTCTCATCAGCCCTTGTGGTCTGGTGTGTGAGGAAATCTCAGCACGGATACAGAAGGCTCGACTAGCTTTTACCAACTTGCGTCATTTATGGCGTAGGCGAGATATCCATCTATCAACCAAAGGACGCGTTTACTGCGCAGCAGTTCGTCCCGTCCTACTTTATGGCAGTGAAACATGGCCGGTAAGAGTAGAGGATATCCGTAGGTTACTAGTACTCGATCATAGGTGTCTTCGAAACATTTCTCGTATATCCTGGGGCCATCGAGTAAGTAACACAGTTGTTAGGAAACGGGTACTAGGTAAGGATAACAAATCAATTGATGACGTAGTGAAACTTCATCAGTTGAGATGGCTGGGACATGTGTTACATATGCCTAACCACCGACTGCCCCGAAGTGGGATGTTTTCTGGTGTAGGAGTAGGTTGGAAAAAAGCTAGGGGTAGCCAAATCAAAACATGGCACAAATCTATGAAGTCACTGACAAGTGTACTGAGTCATGTTGGTAGGTGTAGACTATCTGGTTGGGATCCGCAAGACGATAGCAATCGATGGTTAGAGACCGTGAATGACATGGCTCAAAATCGTTTGCAATGGCGCAGGTGCATCCACTCTTTGTGTTCTCCCAAATTCTAATGTTCTGATTTCTCCATGTCCACTTTTTCATCTTTCCAAATTTACTTCACTGTATTATACTCTTTTAATAAGATCTCCAAACCCTAATCTTCTCGATTACTGCTAATACTCTTACTACCTCTACCACTACGGGATTTGAGTCGACAACTGCATCTCTGTTCTAATATGGTTTGGCAACTCGAACTGATGTACGTACGTATGAAGTTCTACGTTGTTACTGACTGACTGACTGTTGAAGTGCTCTACTCTTTCGTCACCTGTCTTCTTGTCTTTCCTGGTAGTAATAAACCCAATCCTTTTTAAACTCCGTTTTAATGACACCACTTATCTCCTCTTTGTGTTTGATTTCCTTATACTTCGTTTCGTTAACTAAGAACAACAGAGCTGTAAGTATAAAAGCAACAATGATAAAAATTAATGCTTGTTAACAAAATATATTTTATCCCTCATTTAAAAATATTAGCGTGTTCCGAATGAAATGGGTTGATCCCATAACATTTTCACTTTTAAGTACTAAATAGAATTCGCTAAGATAAAAAATGTAGAAAGATCTAATACTTAGCTCATATAGCTCGTGTTTTGTCACTGTAGAAATTGGTTATGAACTTTTGGCTTGGTAGGCTTATACTCCCTCATTTCCACAAATTTATGTTCTGTTATTTCTCATTTCTATTTATTTTAGCGCCCAACTCCTTGTCTTTCAAGTAAACTGCCATCGATTGGCAGTCTGTCACAACCAAATAATCCATTAAAGCGTCGTAAGTGTGTGTACTACCATTTGTTTCAATCTTTTTAATTTATCGTCCCACTCACAATCAACAGTCATAATCTCATATATTCAAACTGGAATCTACATGTGTTTAACTTTATGCATTTGACTAGCCTAACGAGATCTAATTATTTAGTTATTCTGATTATTTGGTTATCACACTTGTTTTTCCCTTAGTAACTGAACGTAAGTGACCTCTCGATTCTAATTACATGAAATTATTATTTACATAATTGGTAATACTTGGAGTTCCTATTGTCTCAGCTAGCATTCCAGTTACTCTTGCTTCAAAAGTTAAAGATACAAAGTATAGATTTATGTCCTTAAAAAAGTCAAAACTTACTTTAGTCATTTTCTGCCAATATTAGTTAAAAGATTTTGGCAGTCATGTTACCTCTAAACTAAAATCAAAGAATTTGTATACACAAACATGCATTCACCTGCTTGGCTAAATCGATCCACAAGTGATGTTCGTACATCAGTTTTATGTCTGTAACTGTGAGTTCGTGTATCTGAAATAGCAATAATGCATTCATAGTTAATAATAACAATTAACAGGTATGAAAATTGAATAAAACTATATCGTTGCCTAGTAATCGATTCCCTACGATGTGTAACTCTGTTGCCACATCAAACCATGTAAGTTAGTGTTAGCCTTTCGAATTCTGTCGTAAAAACTCACTCGGTATTGAGTATTAGACATCATCGTGATAATGCTTGTAAATTTGTATTTAAAACTAAGTCTATCTTACTATGATATAAGAACTTTCGTCTAAATTTGATCAAAGAGTTTCACAGTATCTGGGAACCGGGTTGATGTGAAACAATAAAGAGTATTTGTAAAATCTCAGCGAATGGATTTGAGGTAAACCCAACGTTTCACCTAGCAATCTGGTCCAAGCTTTTTCAAGGAAATATAATCAAACATCAAAATTATCGAATATTTTATAAGAACTACATATGTTATTCAATATTTTTTCGTAAGGCGCATTGTGAAGATGCTCATTGACTTTTCTTTTATGAAAGAAAATTATTTATAATAACAGTGATGTTTCCCTTGTCTGCCCTCATAATAACAACTTTCCTGTCTTTAATTAACTGTTTTGGAGCATACATTTCTTCTTTAGATAGATTAGTGGCATTCGGTTTTGTCTTAATAATGCAGCTGAAATTTTACACCTCACAACGTTCGCTTGATCATTCGATACATTGTTTAAATCAGGCTCTATCAACAATAATAATTTCAGAAGCTAACAGTCGTGGTCTGAAATCGAGACCTTTTTAATTAGTGATAGTTGATGTTAATTTAAAAGTCTGTCAGATAGATTCACTATTATTTACAAATATATTCTTCCTCCTTAATATCTTATTATGAGTTCATATCATTGTCTTATATTTCATTAGTCTTTCCGTTGTTGTGAATTTGGTGGTCATTGTGTATGCTTTTAGTGGTCGACATAGTTTGACAATGTATTTATTTAGTGTTTATTCTAATATCTACTTCAAATTGACAGCCAGACAGACGTGTCATTAACCATCATATGATAAGTTTATCTTTGATACTGTCCACAGTTTGTTAACCTAATTCCTTAGTAGGACCAATCAGATAACTAGTCAATTCTATTACTGCTTTCTGAGCTAAAAACATTTTGTCTATTACATTACAGGCAGTCATCTACGGAAAGATATTTTTGAACAAGTCTATATTTCCTATGTTTTCTAATTGATGCCTGTGTAACTGTCTTACTCTAATTTACTTTACATCTTATCTCATATATCTAGTAACCTTTAAAGATATTACATTCATGATATCACCTTGGTATCGGAATTTAAGCTAGCAACACAATAACAGGATGAGGCTTAGGTATTCCTCTACGTCCTAGCCCAGCTAACTAGAGGAAGAAAACCAGTATTGCAGGGAAAATATTCCACAAGCAAATCGGAAGAACAAATAACAAACATTCAACTCATGAGTAACATATACAATACGAAAATGTCGTTGATAAGCGTCAAACAATAGCTCACTAAAAGAAGAAACGAACTAATGACGTTTAAGATCCAGGTAGTAAATAAAAACTGAAGAAAATAACGGGTACTTTTTGGCGCGAAAACAAATTCTTATTTCCATAATTAAGTCACAAAAATAAGTTTACCGAGTGATTCCTAGTGATCTAGTATCCTCAACAAACTATTTGTAAAAATCTATTGATTCCCCACGAAAACTAACTCACTTAATCTTGAAGATTGTTCATCTTATTCGTTAGTGTAGTATGTTATTTTCGTGTTTTCTTCATGTGCTTTTTTGATCTAGTTGGAACAAAGTCACCTCGAGTGAATTCTGTCACTAATGTTAATCTTTCACAAGTTACTCTGCCTTCATTACGATCAGAGTTTGAAAAGCGTAAACGTTCAATGTCCACTGTGACTGCTGCAGATGTAGATCAAATTTCAAAAATCCATGATGAGTAAGATTAATTTTTATTCAGTACCTTTAATTATACCTACGTTTTGGGTTAGTTTTTTCAGCTTTGTAGATTATACGAATTGAATGATAAAATATAAACTTGAACATTTCATAGCATAGACCTATGTACTAGTCGATTTTTCGTTTTGGATAATTGCTTTAAATGTAATGAAGCTCAGTCTATATCATTTTGAATAACTGCACTTTAATATGCATTCTGTATCTTTCAAAAGTAAAATCCTACTTTATAATTGGCTTGTAATAATACCTATGAATGATATAGTTACATGCATTGACCACTTCAATTATTTTACGTCCAGTCCTGGTTGGTTAGAGTCTAATTAAATCATGACATTGATGCAAATACCTTCTATAAACTCTACACATTACGTTAATTAAACTTATGTTTGCTTATCAAAAGCATATACACTGCGCAATATACCGTCTTCCATGACATTAATGGTGTGAAACATAACGTTTTAAAATAGCTAATATGGGTAGATTTGAGTTACTCGGCCATACCACCATTCATTATGTCTGTCTGAACTACAGGAAGATCAATGTTAGTATCCAGCCAAGACTACTAGATAAAAATGATGAGTTGTCAAATAAGTCTTTAAACCTTCACGTTTAGCGATGTCCCATGTAGGGGATCGTGGGTGCACACTGCTGAGCAATCCCATACTAGGATGAAACGGCCATCTAGTGCTTCCAGGTTTCCCATGATGGTCTAGCTTCAATTGACTCATGAATTCAACTATTAAATTACTATAATATCCACAAAAGTGTTTTTAATCAGGTAATCTACTGAAATTTTACTATGAACATTCCAGTAATCATCATAATAACAACACGTGGACATGTATACTAATTAAGTATATTAATCAATAAAAAGTATTCTCTTTTTACTATTCTGTGTCTATTATTATTCAGGAGAAAAAAAAACCAAAATAAAATGAGCGCGCATTCTCTCTTTCTCATGCGTGTACATACATATACAGATCACATGTTCTACTTGGTATATTTTTTTTTCTGAACCATTTCTTTTCTTGATTAGATCATATGGTTTGGAGAGAAATATGTTATAGAACTTTGAGTAAAATTTCACATCAGTCATCATTTATAATAAATAAATAAATAAAAAAACATAAAGAAGCAAAGTTATAGGTTGTGTATTTACAAATGTGTCCTTTTTTTAAATTTCTTCTACCAAAATGGTTAACACTTGAAAATAAAAAAAAATTTCTTGGCAATTATTACTTTTTTTTCCGATTACAAGAAAAAAAAATCAATAATCATATAATAGGTAACTTTGTTTATTTTATGTGATCCCTAAAACATGACAGTAACTATCTGAATAGTTCTATTAATTTATTTTAAAGATATTCACAATATAAATTTAATATGAATACAGTAAACGGATTATTGAAATCATTCATCAATTGTATTAAAATAAATAAGATATAACTTAACTGGGTTTTTGTTTTCTTCTTTCAAAAATGACAAATTCTTATAAATAAGTTAGTATAAACACGTTTTCAACTAAATCAATAAACTAGTTATCATTATTATTAATGATTTTTAAGTTTGACTGATCTCTACTTATAAAACTATGATCTTGAGATTATTATTTTTTTAATCTGATATCTTTGTTGGTAGTTTAATCACTATGCTGATATGATAATTAGATTTTATCAGGGAATAAAAAGTTATCCAAATGTTAACTAATTTCATACACATAGTTCCCTTTATTATCTTAAATAGAGCAAGAACAAAGATTGGTGCAGAATAATATGAATTCATTTTATTTCGTTAGGTTCTCATCAGCTGCTTACAACCTAAATTATTTGAAAATTCAACATTAATACAGATATTGACATATTTATACATAAGAGGGTGATTAAGGATTAATACATGTGTATGATGATGTAGCAAAGATTCAGATAGAGTTAATGAGCTCATAAAATGTTTGGTTCGAATAAATAAATAAAGTTAGAGAGGGAAAGTTCTGGAACATTGAAATAGTGATTAGAACTCATGAAAATAGATTAATGGTAATAAAGTATATATGAATTGAAATCAATCATTTATGTATGATGTAATTTGAACTTCAGAAAGAGTTGCAATAATGACGCAATAAATAAATAAATAGGAGCGAATGAATAGAAAGCGTGGCGGTTATTGTTACTAGGGTAAAGAAAGATTTATTACTGTCTCTTTTTGTATACATAGATCTGGTTTTAAACGTTTGATTGCTAACGCTTCAGCGAATTTCAAAAGGTTCGAGTTTGATTGTTTGTTAATCACCTTGAAGGACTTCACTAATTATTTGATGTTATTATAAAATCTGTTATGTAGCAAGATTGAAATCATTGACATATGAACTTTTGGGTTTTATAATCAGTTATTAATTATAAGATGGATGTATGTATGACTTGGCACAAATTATACAGCTAACCTAATTGCCATATCCCATATCAATGGGAAGAAGAAAATAGAATAAAATATAAAAACAAAACAATGAAGTGATAAGGGATAGTAAAAGTTTGAAAAATAAAATATAGTTAGTAAAAAAGAATGAAACCAGAATGTACAGTGTTGTCCAGCACTGTGTATCAATATATGCCACTGACTTAACATGGATAACATAATTACAGTCTCTTAATCATGTTCATCGTTTTACTATGAACCAATCACTAAACATCTTCAACCCTTGATCGAGGTTACTGTTCAAACCATAGATTAATAAAGCTATTTGTTGTGAATAGTTAAAGAATCAGTTAAACTAATGATTTTTATCATATCACATTCAATACAGTTCATTAATTCTTTGATTTTTTTTCTTAACAATAATCTATTCATATTGTTTTTCATACGTTTTCCCAAAACTAATGCAAAATATTCACTGAAGTGTAAAAATGTCAAATGAGTAATCGATTATTTCAATTGAACACTGAAAGTTATTTCAGTGTATAATTTTCAAATCAATAGAATATTGAACGCGCCAATATACGTTAGGTTAAGTGTGTATTCAATGGTTATAGATGATTGATTTCAAAGTGAAATGTTATGGTTTCTTGAATTAGGCTACACAGTGTAGAATTGAAGTAGTGATATATTAGTTAGTCATGTATTCTCAAGCATTAGGTTGTAGGTTCTGAACCTCGCTCCATATATTTCCCTTTGAAAAGCTTCATAGTATCGTTAGCTCTCATACAAAAACGGTTCCCCGAACACAGGTGTATAAACCTTTGCGTGGTAAATAAAAATCGGTTTGTTTCGCATTTTATTTACCACAATACTTGGATGGGACTTGTTTTGAGTTTCAGTAGTTTTTATCCAATCTCGTATAAATGAATTATTGTCAGAAATTTTTTCCGATGGTTCACTCGGCGGCGAAGTGGAAATACTTCGAAAAATCCCTATCGTGAATTATTATCGACGTACATTTAAAATCAATAAATGAGATTATTCAACAGCCCACTGCCTCCAAAATGAATGGCGTCTCAATCCTGATCTACAATCCATTTATCACTCACATAATGGTCGATTTGGTCCTATTTTCCAATCATTTTTTCTAAAAATAACTAAAATATTTTTGGTTCGATCTATAACCTTTACAAATATTCTTCATCGTTCCTACCAACATTTGTTTCATCAAAATAACTCCTTGATTGTTCATTTTAGTCAAGTTTTTATTTCCAATTGATAGTTATCATAATAATTAGTTTTATTATTTTAGACTTAGTGACCAAAATATTTGACCGTCATCCCCCCTCATCAATTTATTCATCCAAGTAGTTACGTCATGGTTTTTCTTTTGTTTAATGTGGTAATATATAAATTTAGCTTGTATGAATATAGAAAGTAGTTATAGGTATTCTTCACTTGTGGACTAATGGACCTAAATATATTACAACTCATGAAATTACATTTGTAATTGTTATGACGGGTGTGACTGCAGGTTTTGATAAGCAGCGTTTATTGATCGATTCGGTGACAGTGACACGTAAACACGAGCGGACGGCCTACAGTCCTGATTGGTCCTGCTTCCCTGTCCAGCCCAGCCAGTTGAGTCCAGAAAACAAGTCACAGCCTCGGAGATATGAATCATTATATTTCAAACATACTTTGTTTATATACCAATCAAGCATACCACATCGTACCATAAAAATAGAAAACAACATTTTGTACAATACTCAACAAGTGAACATATATCGACCAATAGGGAATGTCCATTTAAAGTCCAAGGACACCATTGGACTTAACATGATAATTATTGGTCTATTCCTCTGCATCCACAACAGTAATGCACCTTATTTGTTTGTACAAATTAATGTAACATCTAGATCATATGGAATGGAATAAATCTACTCTAACCTGCAATATCTCTTGTTCTTGCTTTACAAAGTTTACTTATTAGCAGTACTAATCACATGAAAGAATTTAAGTGATTTTTTTCTTTGCAATGAACACAGAAACATGATTTAGAGTCGAACTACTAATATTTATGCAATCAAATTAATTGTTGCACTCTCTGTGAACACTGAATTATTCAGCGGAAAAAAAGTGACTTCACTCGTTACATTTTCCGCTTATAAATAATTGTTACCAGACAATATGATCAACGTTACTAAAATCTGTCAAATCAAACGTTAGGGATCATTTAATTTCTAGTGATCGGGTTTATCCTGTTGTTGATATTTTGACTGGATTTCAGTCAATTTTTTTATTGGTTTGTGTATCCGATGCGAATTGCTTCGGTATTGCTTTTATTTCTTAAGTTTGGATAGGATACATGGAATATTGCTAGTAGTGGAATTCAAGACGCGCCTTTCGTCCTATATGAGACTCGTCGGCTGGACGTACCTGCACCCCAGAGTTTATGTTCACTCTGCGTTTCAAACCAAATAACTTCCAATTCAAATCCCTATTGCGTTATTCAATTATCTCCACCTAAATGTTCATCGGACATCATTTTTAATTTAATTTCAGTTAAAGTATAAACAAAGGTATAATCCAAACCATTTCATATTGAATTGAATCTCATACCCGTTGCACAAATAGCTATCAAAACTAAGTAGGTACGGGGATAACACAATAGCTTTTGAAAAACACATTACTTTGTTCTGGTGTTGTAATAAGCATTAACTTTGGTATGCTGATACATTCATCCTACGAGTCCCAAACAGAAAGAAGCACACATGTTGGGTCCAGTTCTACCAGCATTCAATCTGTTTCACGCTAAAGCGTTAAGCATACTGTCTTTTAATTTTTAATTATTGAGAACTTGTTTTATTTGTTAAATAACAGACTTTTTTAAATAATGCAGTCATCTATGGTTTAATTAATGCATAATTCTCGTTGTTCTAATTAGTCTAGTTGCATATTCATCGTATTATCATTATTATGATTACTCTTAGTTTACCTCTAGGAACGAAAACTTGGAAAGATTCTGGGGCAGCACGTTCTCATGCACATAAAATTAATGATGCTGTTAACACTGAAGACAATATCATTTCATCTAGTAGTACTAAATCTGATCAAGAGGCTACAATGATTGGACGTGCAGCAGCTTTAAGACTATCATTAGACCAACGAAGACGAGCTATTGAAGTATCCAGACAACGTGAACGTCTAGCTAACACCAAAGCTGCTGCTGAAAGAAATAATGCAGCATTTGTTAAACTTCTTCAAAAACAGGTAAATATTCATATTGTAAGGTAATGGTTAGAGGTAGTCGACAGGAAACCTTTTCTTGATCTATGTTCCGCGCTATGAAGCTCTCGTCAACATGGTGTCCCTTTAATACTCAGGGAATCGACGCTCTCTGGTAGGTTCGATTCTGAGTTAACCAGCGACACTAAGCCATCCAGGTCATGACTGACTTCCTGTAGGGCTGAGATATATTTACGATAAATTTATCAATCTATTGGTTGATCTTTGCTGGATTTTTAGTTAGTCTTAAGAGTGGTATAAAAACGACGTTACGCTGATATTGATTTTAGCAATGCTTTCTGTAAGCCTTATTTTGTCAGAAAATACCTCCAATCACTGTCTTGTAAAGTGCAATTATAGAGAAACTATTTATTTTACGAAAAAGATTATTGTTTGACATTTTGCTTATTTTTTGTAGTTACCAATCACTCAAACAATGGAACTTTCAATTCTCAATCTGATATTCTACTCATTCAAATACCTAGTCTTTTCGTAAACCTATCTGTCCCAGATTTTCTCTAATTATTTGTTGAAATCAAAATGTTTATTCACCTCAAAAAGTTTGTCAAAAGTGCCTAGAGCAATCGTTTATGTTTGTCAACAATCTTACTACTGAATATTCTTTTTTACCTGTGTTAATTTATCAAAGAAGTAGTGTAAATCCGTGTACTTACTTAAGAACATATGATATCCACTGTGTTGTCGATTACTACTGAACATGAAATTCGAAATACTATGAATATAAGGATTTTTTGAGGAAGGTTACTTGTTTCAACCTGATTTTTCAAAACTAATTGATATCATTTGAAGATCAGTTAAATGCTGGATATGCACGACATCTGTTTTGTTCAAGTCATTGAATTTGTGTGAGGGCTGCAATACTGTCCGGACGCTCAAACCAAAACAGGTGGCTTTCTTAAGCGACCACTCCCCGAGCTTTTAACCTAGAGGTCTAATCCACAAGGCAGTGGAGCAACGTCAGGAGATGCAGTTCCATAATAGCCAGTGACCAACAATAACTTCATACTCCATTTATTCCCTCACGGCTCTGCAGTTCATGTACTCATTGGTTTGGAATCAGGGTTTCCCAACTCTCCTAGATGGATCCTCCATATCCACTGACCCAGTTAAAGTGCCGGACATTCACTTTTGTTCCTCTTAATTCCGTAATTTACACCCCTGCCACGGGAAGGCAGTGAATAGGACTTCCTTGACAGTGTCTGTATATGCGTGGCCATGTGTTAGGATTTCTAGAGGAAGACCTGACTCTCCCCACCCTTGGTCGTACCAGAGCATCTTTTACAATGATAACGTACGATTTCGTCAACGATACGAAATCGAAACCATCATTTATAGTGGCAATATCAATTCCTTTTTTACCATTAATTATTTGAAAATCCCTAATGTTTTCTTTTAAAACTATTTTAATGAACTATGCAAGTATTTTCCATGTAAGTGTCATTACCAAGGTCCGACTTCATAATTTCAAATAACTTGGACATTAGGTAGAATGGGATATTACAAATTTTCTATTTTTTTACTTTCCATATTCTTAATCGTAATTTATTTTACAATTATTATTATTCAGTGTTGTTAATCTCATTTATTTTGTATTATTAATCTAATAGTTCCATCAGCGTCAAAGTATTTCAAGTGGACAGTCTCAATTATCGAATGGTGGTACAGTATCGGAGAATGAAAATTCATCTAGTTCTTTGCCTATCAAATTAAAAGAATCAGAAAAATACAATTTTAGTTGCATCGATTCAGAAGGTGCTCATTTCACAACGGATAAAGATGAAATGACAGTATCTGGTTCTAATGTTGAACATGCTACAGACTTAGATGAAGATTTCTCAATGAATTCTTCATCCACAATGCCAAATATTAGTGAGGTCAATAGTTGGATTCATATGTTGTGTTTTTACTCTTCTTATCTTATAATAATAAAATGTTGATGATATTATGCAATTGTAAAATTCAATAATGTGATCTTTTCACATCAAAAACGTACTTTCTAGACAACCATTGAAAATCTGGAAGCGCTGGGTAGCTGTTTCGATATCGTCCAGGAATGCCTAACCACGACCTCTCCCGTCCACATACGACAATGGCGGATATTTGTCTAATATCACAAATCGCTTGAATTAAGATGTGTACACCGAAGAAACAATTAGTTCGAAGAAAGAAAGATTTAAAGCAACTTTAATCTCATAGTTTAAAGGAAGACAGAGAGTGTATACACTGACGTCACTGCGATCGATTCTGAGCCATTTCAGTTACAGTCTCCAACCATTTGTTATGATAGTCACACGGACCACAACCAAGTAGTCTGCACCTACCAACATGGCTCAGTCTAGAGGTTGGTGACTTCAAGCACTGATGCCATGTTTTGGTTTTGCCGACCCTAACTTCCTTCCAACTACTGTCAGCATTGCGTGTCGTGGTAATCGGCGTTCAGGCATACGTAACATGTGGCCCAACCATCTCAGTCGGTGGAGAGTTACAACCTCACCAACTGATTTATTATCATTCTCTAAGACCTTGCGTCTGACCTCATTATTACTTACCCGATGATCCCAGCAAACGCCAGCAATATTTCTATGGCATCTGTGGTCAAATACTAGTAGCTTACGAGTATCTTCTACTCTTAATGACCGTTGCTGCTACCTTGATGCGGTGGTCGGGCTTGCCTATCCTGATGAACCAATCGAGCTATACTGGCTGAAACCATCGTTCCTCAAGGTCCTACCATGCCAGACAGGTCGTTTGAAGAGTGGTAAGACTAAAAGCAGTAAACACAAGGTCCGAAGGCGAAGTCGTACTGATGACTGTACGGAGGTGTGACAGCAGTAAGGTGTTTCCTTCAGACAACCAGCATGATAGCGATGCTGCCTTCCCACAAGGAGGGGTGGGGTTAGAAAAGGTCGACCCTAAAAATGCACACCTCGCCTTATCCCACGCATATACGTCTCTGGCGGTAATGTCCCAACAAGTACGGAGCTAGCACAAAAATTACTCACAAAAATATCGTGTATGACCGACCTCAAGCAGTTGTCTCTTGAGCACTGCGGTCACGCTCTCAGGTCACTAAAACCACTTCTAATCCGAATTCTTTTTCAGGTATCTTCAGAAGAGCCGTTTCACGGTGTGGGCGATCGGGGAGTGATAACCGCCCTAATTCCTCTAACAGCACTCAAGATCACTGTTTTCATAATGGATCTCCCCACATTGTTGGATTCCGATACAGTGGTTTTGCGCTCATGGTTGTACACTTTACAGGGTTTCGATACCTAAACAAAATGTGCTTCCAAGTTTTCGTTGGTTGCCTAACATAGGTTCGTTCGTGATCTCAATAACGTTAAACAATTTTCACAGCCCCCGTAGTGATTTAGTTAGATTTTTAGTGAATCATGGACGTAATTTTGGTAAACTTCATCTTCCTATAACACTATACGAATTTCATGTAATATAATATCTAATAAAAACAATAATCGGTTTACATTTTTATTTGTATTAACTGTTTTATTTTATAATTTATATGTCTAGTCTCTACACTCTGTACAAATGTCAAATATTAGTTGTCATGCATGTCAGATGTAAACATATTGCTGTGCATCTTTTCCTGATCCAAACAAATTGATTAGAAAACTCTTCATTTCACTCTTAAGTGAATACATTGACCCCCCTTCATGTCACTGCAAAATTTATTTAACTTATTCTTCAAACTACCGTGGTCAACTGATTATCGGAAGATTTTCGTTTCTTATGCTGTTCGTTTAATATAATTGTAGTTATTATCATAAATAATAGATTTCGAAATTTACATAACCACGATTTTTCCCTCACATAACTGAATTACAAGTTTATCATTGTATAACTTTAACTTATGAACGGTAAAAGGTGTAACTATAGCCAGTATATCTTACAAATTGCAGAATACGGAAATATCACAAAATGAATATCTAACATATACATATTCATTATATGTATATTTATATACCGGTTCACTAATTTCTACATTCGAATTTAATGAATATACTCGTCTTTTCATTATAAAACCCAAAGAATATTATCATCTCGTATGAATAGAGATGATATGAGTAGTATGTATCACTAATTGAAAGTGAAATACCTGGCGACAGAAGATTAAGAAGATCGAAGAACGAGAACAGAGAATGATTAATGTGAAAGCGAAGGAACAATAAAGTCTGAGAAAATCGACTAATATTGTGCAAATGAAATTTTTACTGTATGGTTCTCAAACTGTACTAAGAGATTCTGTAATTTTGTGTCCAATTACATTCGATTGTCCCCACTTGTGTTCTCGTTCACTACATTACTATTTCATATCGGTTAAATTTGCATACAGTATTAGTAATTTTTTGAAAATTGCCATCTTCATATTGTAAAGATGCTTAAGTAGTCCGTGTTTAATACCTGAAATTTCATTGTTTCCTGTCATTCCATTTACTTGTTATAGCCTTTACAAGATTCTACTGTACTTATGGAAACCAGTGATACGATTGGATTGGCTGAAAATACCACTAACATATTCGCAAATGATTCAAAAACATCAATCCCTCCTTGTTCTAAATCTCCACAGATATATCACGATAGAACTCAGTCGAATGATCATTCTGATCTGACTGTCGAGCCTACTACTGCTCATATAAACAATCATTGTGATCCGCCTTATCAGGAATTCGACCAAAATGCATCTGTAACAAATCGGCGATCGGGTAGTGGAGAATCAAACTATGCTACATCTAATGTTTCTTATCCTCATATGATCACTTTAGATCCATCCAAACCTTATCAAACATTACCTCATCAGCATAAACGTGATTCTAAAAGACCAAAGTCTAGATTTAGTGAAAGAGAGTCTACTCCTCAACCTGAGTTATTTACAGAAGTTAATTATCACTATGCTCCTCCTCAATATTCTCAAACTCATAAAGGGTCGAGACAGCGAAGTTATGCAGATAAAACGTATCCAGGATTTCTGGCATCATCAGCTAGTGATTATAATGAACATGGTTTTGTTTTAGTTGATTCATTTCATGGTGTTCAGTCTCCTTCTTTTAGACATCGCCATACCAACCATAAAAACTATCCTTATGATATTCCTTCACAAAGTCCTGTTGATGAGCGAGCACTTCCCCACAAACATATATCTCAACGGTATCATCGCTCTCATAATGTCCCGAATCAAATGATGCTCAGCAGCAGTTATCGTGAATGTAGCTCAAATGAAGCAAGTTCAGAAACGGATGATGATGACGAAGATGATTACTCCACCCGAACATATGATGATCATTCTTACCCATATATCAATCGAATGTCTTATTCTGGTCGATTCTCTCATCGATCATTATCTAGATTGCCGAAATCCCATTCAAAGTAAGTGTAATCAGATTTATAGTGCAAGTGGACTATTTTACTCAGTTCGTGTGTTTCTTCCATTAACCTGATAGTTACCTAGGTCTCAAGTTTTCTGACGATTATCTTCAAACATCTGATATAAAATAATATTATTCATTTATCGAGTACTGGTTTACCTGTTTGACTTTTCATCACATCACTTCTTATAGTGGTATTGATACAACCTCATCATCTAATTCCAAATAGCTGGACAGGGATGCAAACCTAAGACTTAATATTTAAAAGCCAGGTACTTTAAGCACTCAACCACCGAAAACTTATCAAATATAGTTCTTTGGAACTTTACGTTCCTTACCATAGCATGATCACATGTAAACATGACCAGTATAAACCATGACACTGGTTACCAACAAGTGGCTGGCTAGTCCAAGCATTTTGTGAGCTATTTTGTAAGATGGTAGTTGGAGGTAGTCGACAAGAAACCTTGGTTGACCTACGTTTCGTACTGTATGGCACTCATCAACGAGGTTCACCTGTAATCCTGAAAGAACTGATGTTCTTTATCGAATTCAATCCAATATCACCTAGCTCCGTGACCACAGAATTCACTACTGAACCATCCGTTCCACGACTAACCTCCTGTAGGACTGAAATGTGTTCACAATTGATTGATCACTGAGTAATGACCAGTGCCTTATATGTCCAGTCCTTAGCGCTTATCAAACTCTATCGATCGAATTGTAATATTACCTGCTGTTATGACGGGATGAATATTGTAGTAGTCAAAACTGGTTTTTTGACCTATTATTAATCATAATTTTGTTGTATAATTAGTATACAACTAAACTGCAATGTGTATATAAGTTTTCGATCAACCCTTTAAATTTAGTGATAGGATTTACTGTTTCTAATTTGTCCCTAGTCGTTCAGTTACAGCCACGTTAGACTTGTTCATGCATAATTTTTATTTCTTACTTTATGATGTGATTCGGTCCAGTATGTCTGTGTATAAACCACATGTTTTGAAAAATATAGTAGGGGCTGGTTGCCACTTCTAGACTTAAGACTGGTTATAGAGAGGAGGTTGCGAATAAAGGACCAAGAGAAGTTTGACTACCGGATCAAAATCAATAGTGCTGGTCAGATGTACAGTTGACTAAGTCAAAGAGATTTAATCTGTAGAGTAAATAATAGACGCACTTACAATTAATATTGTGATTGGTGGCCGAGGACGTGATACTGGTCAGCAGATTTTCAAGACATAACACTCACTAATCGAGGTTACTCAACTTCTCGCGTACTATGTTGTGATGTTAAGTGGTTGCAGGTCCTCGACAAATAACTCGCATAAAGCATCATTTCCCTCAAGACTACAGGTAACCTTGCTGACGAACACTAAATAGCACAAAACTTTGGTCAAACCGGGTTTCCCATTGATTTCTTCCTATCACTACCTTACATCTCGACATTGTTCACGCAATATCGAGTTACCTCTGTTATTGAGCCACATTGCAGCTTGGTCGATAGAGTTTGATCAACATTAAGAACTTAACATACATGCCTTCAGTCACTACTCAATGATCAGTCAATTGTAAATACTCTATTTTACCTATTTTCAGCAAAAATTTCCGGATATATCACCAACTGTTGAGTTTCAAAAATGGAATTTTACATTTGTTATCCAGGATTTTTAGTTTCACTAAAACTAGAAAGATATACTACATCGCCAACTTGACATGTTGGCTTAGAATTATTGACTGAATTTATAAATTAAACAGTTTCTGGACATACGTGTAATTATCAATTCGAATTGATACATTATATTAAATTTTTGTGCATACACTGTCAATTTATTCAAAAATATACTTAACTTACTCTAACCGCCATCTGAGCAGAACAACTTACTTACGCCTGTTACTTCTAATGGAGGATAGGCCGCCGACCAGCATTCTCCAACCCACTCTGTCCTGGGCCTTTTTTTCTAGTTGCATCCAATTCTTGTTCATTTTTCTCATATCCATCTCCATTTCTCGGCGTAATGTGTTCTTTTGTCTTCCTCTTTTCCTTTGACCTTGAGGATTCTATGTGAGGGCTTGTCTTGTGACACAGTTGGGTGCTTTCTTCAATGTGTGTCCTATCCACTTCCAGCGCAGGAGCATAATGTATGTGTTGGGGGTGGGATTCGAACCCACGCCCAAATCATGGACCAGAACTTGAGTCTGAGCAGAACAACGCATACAAGCAAACAATAGTGTTTCCAATTAGGTCGTCATCAGGCTTTGCTCGAATACACATGAATATTCATATGGGTATATGAAAATATTAAACTAATCAAAGTATTTTGTGAATCAGTAACCGCAATGAAATAGATTGCATAACCACATGTAATAGATAAAAAGTAAAAATTGACAGTAAGAAGGCAGGTGTACTAGTAATGATAAGACTATTATAATAAACAATGTTTTATTCAATAGTTCAACATAGAAAGTAAGTCAGAAATGGATAAATAGACTTTAGAATAACAATTACAAAACACCACTAGAATTATGTAATATTAAGACAGTTCCCTTACAAATAAGACATAAATTTATTTGTTTATGCCATTTTCCTGAATGATAGTGCCTCATATCATATATCTTTCTTTCATTGTTGCGTAGGAATGTCCATAACAATAAAATGTATGAAGAAAAATAGTCATTGTCTTTATATTGGTTGATGATGCTCTATTGGTTAAGTCTTTTCGACGTAAAAATTTGAAAACAAATTACATATTCAATTTAAATCAAGATGCTAAATTTTTCTTTCAATTAAGTACTATTCTTTACTTTTCATTCTTTATTTCTATAAAAAGAAATACGTGTCAAATAACTACCGGTCAAATGTTATTTCACAAAGTTTCTTTGAGATCATAAATCAGCTTTCTTTCTTACACGAAAATGAAACTTTATTTACGCATGCTGTTCTGAACTAAACAATGACGTTGAATGCTAAAATCGTCTAACTTCGTGTTTGTGCAGCATTCATTGCAAATTTCTAACTTCTGCGTAGTTACGTGAATGATAATAGTTTGTTTACTTATTCATTTTACGAATTTCACAGTTAATTCTATTGAAGATGTTATGGTCTCTAAGCTGAATGGAATTACGTACTAATGTTATTGTTCAGTGAAAGCTTCGTAACCAATCCATTCGGCTCAGAGATCAAAACACGTCTAATATCCTCATCCTGATCTACAAATATCTTATGGTTAAATTCATATTGTGAACACTTATTTTGTAGAAACAGATATAGATCGAATGGTCGTAAATCATCAGAATATGGATATGAATTAGGTGAATCAGAGAGTAGAACTCATTCTCCAGCTCCTTCTTACGCTTCATCTCGCGGAGTAGTCAGTTCACGTGGACATAAAGTTGATATAAATTCAATAGGTGGTGGAAATAATCGCCCATCTGTTACATCTGTTGTTGATCCCGTTACATTAGATCAAATTAATCGGAATATGTCTGATTTACGTTCGGATTTTGAACGTCTTTCTATGCAACAACAGGTGCTGTTAGCTTCATCATCTGCGACAACAGCAGCTGCTTTAATGGCAAGTAGTTTTCAACAGCAACACCAACAATATCAACCACAACAATCATCATCAACACCACTGACAATAAGTCAATTATCTCATACACAAGCATTATCCACATCCATATCTAATATATCTACAACACGTGCTACATGGAGTGATAGACCTATTGTTCGTGATTTAATTGTACAACATAATGTACATTCATCAACAGATAATAATCATTCAGTAACAGTAGATGATTTCGTTGAACATAATCAAATTAATACAGATGAACCAGTTGTTATTAAAGCTGATAGTCATAATATGGTTGCTTTCAATGAACCTGTAAGTTGTACTGTGTTTTAATTATTTTTCATTTCGTAGTTTTTCTAGTCGTGATATAACCATTTAATGAGATATCGGTCTGGCTTTGAAGACTCTTTAATTTACCTTGGATTTAAAGTAGAGATTTTCACACATATATATCTTCAACTGGTCTCTGTTATTATCGATTAAGAATCTTCCTACACAATTCTATGATAAGCTGAACTATCTGACATTACATAGTCTTTATTGTTGCGTAGAAATAAACGGCTAACCTCTTGATCTAGCTAATATTTACATTTCATTATATTTTCCATGAACACTACAAAAAAGTCTTTTGTCATTCATTTTCTAACTGCTAAGTCTCATGTTCAAATTTTAATCCGCCGACTTTAGTTTCGGACAGCCTCTTGAGATCAATTACCTTCACATCCATTATGCAGGCACCCGGGCAGTGTCACAGCCATCACACAAATAAATGATAACTGATACTGGCCTGATTGTTATTGTGTGGCGCATATATATTTGGTGCCCCCTTATACCATTGTTTATGCGTTCAAATAAATAAAATGTGGGATATTGCGCCATTACTCATGATAGTAACTAGTATTTATTTCCAAAAGTATGTTGATTATCTCTTCTCTGTTTGAAATATGGTTGTATTACTGCAGTCAATGTCATGCAAATGTAATTATTTTTCTTTGATATATAAACTTTTGAGGTCTTAACGAAGAAATTTATGATACTACTCCATTGTTTTCTCTTCAATGGTGTTAGTAAAGCAGTTTCACTTCTCAGAATTTACAATGCATTACACGAAACTGTACTTTATCGTTGTATTTTGGAGTAATCTAATTTATTATACACAACTAATATTCTAATGTTATAATGATTGTAAACGTTTGTGCTATTTTTAGTCCTACAGTGGTAAACCTCAAGAGTGTTCAATGTCTGCTAATAATGTTACCGACTTATCGAACTCATCAACTGCACCATTAAATCCTTCACCTGTAGAAAATAGTCAGAAACATATGAAGTCTCCTGTAGTCAAAGCCCCAAATGTCAATCCAGAAGGAAAACTTTTCTTTATTGGCTTCGAAGAACCAGATCCAGAGGTAAGATTCTGTTTATAAATTTGTCTTTTGATACTTTTAATATTTCTCAAGTTATTTGATTGAATTCTATGTTTTTCACCCTAATTCAGTCTTCTGTTTCAATTATTTTTGATATTAAGTCATTAGTTTGAGATAATCCTGGAAATGGCAATTTGCTAAATATCCATTCAGAACCTCAACATTAAACGTTGGTTTCAAGCTTGAATATCTGGGCTATCTGTTCTTGTCATCTAGATATTTCAACAAGTTATCTGTTTCCTTGTTAATTAATTACACAACCTATTCAGGTGCGTTTGCGAAAAGTTGACTACAGTACAAGTTACAAAAATGTACAATCGGAAACAACTTGATTACTGACAAGATGGATTGAAAAGAATGAACATTATTCAGATGTTGATTTCTGAAATGCTAACATCTAACTGGGGATCGCTCAACACTTATCGTCAATATAGATCAAGAAATAAGAAACGGAAACTCGCTGAAACACTTTGTGCTGAGAATTCTATATTGTACCAAAAGTATAATATTGAATAAAGCCAATAATAATAATATTTTGTTGAACGTATTCGATGCTCTGTTTTTCAATTTCATAATATGTGAATGCTCATGATTGAGAAACTTTACCACTATAAGAATTCAGTGCCATTTCTTCATAAAATCTATACAAATGTATATCTTAAACTCGTACAATATCTCTTGGTTGTTTTATTCTAAAATCATTTCCACTTCTCACCTATAGAAGTCCATGAATGCTGTGTATTTATAAATCAGATAATATTTGTCTATTCTTATTCAAATCTCAATATGTTGTTAACTTTAAATTATTATCTCTTTTTTCTCTGGTTCAGCAGTTGATTTTTATATTTTAGTTAATTGATTTTATTATTTATTCTCTAGTTCTAACTTTCGGTCTCTGGATTATATCTGTCTCTTTTAACATAAATAATCCTTGAGAAGAATCATCTCTCAGGTTTCTGAAAGCCTTATGTATCTGAACTTCTAATCGTTTCAGTTTCTGTTTTGACCTGCATGAACTTTAGATATTGTTATTGAGCTCTCTGAAATAAGATAAATTTTTCTTTCTAGATTCCATTACCAGTTAACATGAAATAAACTAAACAATGGTTTGGTAATCCAAACATGACTGTAAATAATCAGGTAAAGATTTCAAACACCACTTCACACCCACCTTAGTTTAGGCAGCCGGGTTATATCACCAGCTCTCACATAAATGTAACTTCAAACTTTTTACTGGTTTATTAAATTATATTCACTAAATAAAGTATTGTAACAATCAGATGAACTGTCGATTTTTCGCACAAAAATTCTATCTTATTTTTGTATGATACAGTTTATTAAATGATTCATGTGGTTAACCAATCATTGTTTTAAACGACATCGCATTAACTTGAGATTTTCTAGCAGACATACTTTTTCTAAATGATGACAATCACGTTGCTAAATGGTATATATACATATATATCACAATTTTGTCTTTACTTATATTAATTACCAATTCCAAATTATATACTTCATTGTATAGCGAATGCAGCGTACCAAGGATAGATTAGAAGCTCGTCGAGCTACAGAGAGAGCTATGGTTGCTGAACAACTGGAAGCATTACGTACTACTGGCCGTAAAGAGAAAGAAGCAGCTGACCGTGCACAATTTGAACGGAAACTAAATGAGAAAGAAAGACGTGAAGCTGTACTACAAGCACATTTATCCAAGAAAGAAGTAAGTGATATTTTATATTTTGTAAAGTAGTTAAATATTAAAAATACTCGGTTTTCAACTATTTATCTTCGATTTCAAAATTGCCACTCCTATTTTTTTCCAGTCAATGGATTGTATCACTAACATCTATTCAAATTATTATTATTATTATTATTATTATTATTATTATTATTATTATTATTATTATTATCTCAACACATAAATATTGGTACAAGAGGGCACCAAATATATATGCGCCACACCATATTTATGCGTGTGTGTGGACTGTAATACTGCCCGGGTGCCCAGACCTAAGCAGGTGGTTTCCTTAGGGGGCCACACCCCGAGTCTTTGACCTAAAGATCTGATCCACAAGGCAGTGGGGCATCGTGAGGAGATGCATTCCCATGGTAGCCGGTGACCAACGATTGGTTCATACGTCATTTGTTCCCTCAGGATACTGGAGCCCATGTGCACCATTGATTTGGGATCCGGTTAAAGCGCCGGACATTCGCTTTTCTTCCTCTCATTTTCGTAAACAACACCCCCGCCACGAGAAGGCAGACCAATACTAATCCGACTTCTTTTTCAGGTTCCTCAAGAAATACCCTTCCACGGTGTGGGCAGCCGTGAAGTGACATCAGCCCTCATACCCGTAACAGCACGCGAGACCAAGTTGGTCACATTCAAATCCTTCCTACACCTCCTAATACCTCTCTTATCTCCATGACTAATCCTCCTCACGTCTCTTTATCATCTCGTACCGCTAGGGCGAACGATTCGAGTACGCGGAACGTTATTCCTGGTCTCCTGAAACCACGCTCTAAGATGATGTAAAAGATGAGTTTTACAGAAAGCTCTCCGACCTTCTCCGAAAAGCTAGGCGCTCGGATGTAGTAATAGTGGCCGGTGACTTTAATGCTCAAGTAGGTAAACTAAGCGATAGGGAAAGACACCTAAGTGGATCTTATGGTGTCGTAGCTCAAAGAACAGATAATGGCGACCGTCTGTTGCAGCTATGCTCAGATAACCGCCTGTTCCTTGCAAATACTAACTTTAAGCATAAGGAAAAACATCTTTTACAATGGAGACCCCCTAGTTCATCCCAACGTTGGACTCAAATAGATCACATCGCTATCTGCCACCGATGGAGGGGCTCGATAGAAGACTGTCGCTCATTCTGGAGCACATTCTTAGATTGAGATCATGCTCTAGTACGAGCGCGTATCTGTCTGCGTCTTACTGGACGTAGGAAAGACGCTGCAAGGAAACCTCTTAGGGTCCTACTTAATGATAGTCAAGCTAAGAGTATATCTCAGGAACAACTAGGAAAACAGTTAGGCAGCCATGTATGTGATGCCCACCCCGGGGCAGCATGGAATGATATCCGAAAAGCACTGAAAACAGCAGTGATATCTGCTAGTACGGTAACCCGTAAGGTTAGGGAGCAACACTGGATCTCAGCAGCATCTATCGCACTGATAGATGCTCGAAAACTCATTCCACCTGGCTCTGAACATAATGAGGAGCGGAGTCAGCTTAAGCGCAAGCTGACAAGAAGTCTACGCAATGATCGCGAACAGTGGTGGGTAGCGAAAGCAAGAGAGATGGAAAAGGCAGCGGCAATAGGTAATAGCAGACAATTGTTCAGACTTGTTAAGGAAACCGGTATTAGCAAACCGACTGTTAGCGAAACACTCTCAGAGAAAGATGGACATATTATTCATTCTCAATCCAGGAGATTGGATCGATGGGCAGAACACTTTAGGGATCAGTTCAACTGGCCTTCAGCCACACTTCGGTTTCCCACGATCTCTAGTCAACCTGAATGACAAGTTAATGTAAGTCCTCCGTCCCTTTACGAAGTTGAAAAAGCCATAGGAAATCTGAAGCGAGGGAGAGCAGCAGGCCCTGACAGGTTTACTCCTGAGATTTTTAAGGATGGTGGTCCAGTATTAGCAGTGAGATTAACTTAGGTCTTAGGTAGAATTCGGGAACTGGACGTAATCCCATCTGACTGGTCTCAATCACTGATTGTGCCAGTGTATAAGAAAAGACAAAAGTCCTCTTGTGACAATCACAGAGGAATCAGTTTGACTAATATAGTATCTAAATTATTAGCCTCAATAATACTTCGACGCCTAACTAAAGCTCGTGAAGAGCAGATTAGAGAAAACCAGGCTGGTTTTCGACCTGGACGTGGTTGTGTAGATCAGATATTCACACTACGTCAGGTTCTAGAACACAGACACTCGTTCAGACGCCCCACAATGGTAGTATTTCTCGACCTTAAGGCGGCATTGGACTCTGTTGATCGTGAGGTTCTATGGCAGTGTTTGTCACTGAAAGGAGTACCAAAGAAGTACATTAACCTTGTAAAGGCTCTCTACTCAAACACAACTGGTAGAGTGAGAGCTTATGGCGAACTGTCATCAGAATTGATTACCTCAAGTGGTGTTCGTCAGGGCTGTCCATTCTCTCCATTCTGGTTTAACATTGTCGTTGACGTGCTTTTAGAGATAACACTTTCTAAATTTCCAAGGGTTGAACTCCTACCAGGAGATTCACTTGTTGACTTGGAATATGCCGATTACATAGTTTTATTTGGTGAAGATGCTGACAAAATACAGTCTTCTGACCACTCTAAGCAACAATGCAAGCATGTTCGGGATTCGATTCTCACCCTCGAAATGCAAAATGTTGCTTCAGGATTGGGTTGCATTGACACCCGAACTAATGATAGGGAGTGAAGTAGTTGAGGGTGTCGACCGATTCACTTATCTTGGAAGTCTCATCAGCCCTTGTGGTCTGGTGTGTGAGGAAATCTCAGCACGGATACAGAAGGCTCGACTAGCTTTTACCAACTTGCGTCATTTATGGCGTAGGCGAGATATCCATCTATCAACCAAAGGACGGGTTTACTGCGCAGCAGTTCGTTCTGTCCTACTTTATGGCAGTGAAACATGGCCGGTAAGAGTAGAGGATATCCGTAGGTTACTAGTATTCGATCATAGGTGTCTTCGAAACATTTCTCGTATATCCTGGGACCATCGAGTAAGTAACACAGTTGTTAGGAAACTGGTACTAGGTAAGGATAACAAATCAATTGATGACGTAGTGAAACTTCATCAGTTGAGATGGCTGGGACATGTGTTACATATGCCTAACCACCGACTGCCCCGAAGTGGGATGTTTTCTGGTGTAGGAGTAGGTCAGAAAAAGCTACGGGCAGCCAAATCAAAACATGGCACAAATCTATGAAGTCACTGACAAGTGTACTGAGTCATGTTGGTAGGTTTAAACTACCTGGTTGGGATCCGCGAGACTATAGCAATCTATGATTAGAGACCGTGAATGACATGGCTCAATTATTTAAATGATTTTAATTATGAAATTACTAAATATGGAATTTTCCTGATAAATAAAGACATTGAATCAGTTCAGTTTTATTAGATTACAAATTTTCAATTATACAATCAACTTCAGTTAGTATGATTAATAATATGTCTTTAGTGAGACTATCGCAAAACGATCATTTATTCTCTAACTAGAAGACTAGGAGAAGTGTTCTACTAGTCTTCAATTATTGTGCAGTTGTCCACTGCACATTAACAATATGAACAAAAGTGTTTTACATAGAAAGTCATAAATTAGTTGTTTCGACAACATAAACCTTCAGTGACTAATGTGCTACACATATCTAGTCACTATTTGTGCCCCCCTTCCATCAGTACTAACCAAGATCAGACTGAATTGATAAAAAGTTAGTCAATAAAACTACATTTTGCCTAGATGGTTTTCTGAATAGTTTGTAACATAACACTAAGTCTACTCTCAGAAACTAACTTAGTATACATACTGATACTTATCGCACTAAAACCAATGTAAAGGTTTAGGTTCACTATATAAATGACATTATTATACGCTTTAAAAGTATTCAAACTGAGACTTTTTTCATCATTCAATCACTGCGGACTTTATGTGCCATTTATCTGAAAAATGTAAACAGAAATAGATGAAAGCAATAACAATCTACTTCTAATTTTATTAACTGACAAAACTAAATTTAAGTATAAATACATAAGTATGTAACAGAAATAACATAAATTATTTTGTCTAAATTGTTATATAAACAACAGAAATTGGTTTAAAATCTTCTTGCACTGAACATTACGCTATTGCAGCAAATTTTACTGTAAACCTATTTCAATATACTTGTAGATTTATGTCGAAAAATCTATCTCTCTTAAAACAAATTGTATTGTGATTTTCTTTTTTAGGCTGCTTTATCACCAAGTTGTCGCACTACTAATAATAGTAATAATCCATACCCTGTAAGGTCTGGTTCATCAACACTTTCTAAATCTGAAGCTAATTTATCTTCAACTGTTCCTAAACATAGTTCAACTAAACGATTATCCGCTACTCCTAAACGTGACAGAAATGGATTGGTCGCTGCTTCATTGGACGACTTTCCATCATCAAAACCTAATTCTCGTTTGAATTCTGCTAAATCTAAACCACATCCATCGGCCATTACACGTGGTAGTGGTGATGGTGAAGCTGTGGAACCAAATACTGAACCTGACTGTGATAGCTCTTCTTTCCGTGAGACAAAAGCTCGTGTAACTCATAATCGTCCTGTCAATGGTAGGTCTGTTGTTAATAATCTGGCTGGTCGTAATCCACTTCCTCCTGGAATTAGTTTGTCATGTAAGTTAATAGCTCTTAACTATATATATATATATATATATATATATATATATATATATAACAGGTAGCATGTAGAAATTTGATTCTATGTAGCCATAAAAGTTTTCTTTACTGAGGGTTTTTAAAGCGGATGTTAAATGACCGCTTGGTTGTTCACAATAAAAATTGTTTCTAAAGTTATTCATATTTGTTGAACTACTTGTAAGTAGACATTTTCACATTGGCTAAAGTTATGTCATTCTCATGATCCTAATAATTGCCTGCACAATAGTCGTTTTTTTCAGCAATGTGAGCTACTTCTTTCGTTATTATTTATATAATACTCTTAGCTTTTCTTTATTCAGTTTATTAGAAAACTACCGATATATCCAATAGGAACTATACTCACCCAATTCAAGCTACTGAAATCGAACCTAATTAATCATGCAATGTGGAATTCACTTAGGTTTATGAAAGTTTTCAAGTATTCTTATATTTTGTAGCTCTTCACTGCTAATGGAAATTTAATTTCTAGAATAGGTTTTTTCAGTATATCAGTTAATATATAAACCATCTATAGCTCTGAGAACACAACACCTACCGAAATTTCCCTACAATTCACCACAAGCTTTGTTTTGTTATTCGTTGTCTCTAAAACCAATCCTTTATTTCACTTAAATTACTAAAAACAAGTCGTTTCTGTTATATTACGAAAAATAAAATTCCGAAAATCAGTGGATGTTTGACCCATATATCTATTAATCCTTTGGCATTCAGTGATTCTAAACAAAATTCTCTTATAAATATTATCAGTCACGTAAACCTACTTCTTTTTTTTAAAAAAAGGACATACTTTTTTGTTTTATTGAATTCTCCAGCATTACATCGACTTGGCGCTTTAGAATCTCCATCTAGTGGCCCTGGTGTACCCGTTCAATGTTTAAATCAGCCACGTTTATTTGTGAAACCCAAAGCGAAATCCAATCGAACTGTAGTAGTTAATGCAATTAGTCACTGTTGTTTAGCTGGAACTGTCAATGAACCAACCAAACAGCTTGCTCTTAAAGTTTGTTTTACTTTTTTTAACTGTATTACAATTTTTTCTCTCAGTATTTAAATGATGAACTGATCTGTTTTAGACCACCGCTTGTTAATTTTTGACTTTGGTGAATGAAGTTGTATTTTTAACCTGTTACGACTCGGATTTCTTTGGTTTTTGTCACTAACTCATTATTATTTCAGATCATCTAAAACACTCCATACACTAACCGGTGTAGGGGTTGGTTGGAAGAAAGTTAGGGGCGGCCAAACCAAAACGTGGCATCAGTGCTTGAAGTCACTAACTTCTAGTCTGAGCCATGTTGGTAGATGCAGACTACTTGGTTGGGGTCCGCGTGACTATCGTAACCAATGGTTGGAGACTCTTGGTGACATGGCTCAGAATCGATCACAATGGCGTCGGTGTATACACTCCCTGTCTTCCCTTAAACTAAGAGATTAAATCACTTCATATCTTTCTTTCTACGAACTAATTCTTCCTTCCTATACTATATCCTTATTGCAACCTTTGACCTAACCACTCCTATGAATCCGGTGTTCATCTTGTTGTGCTAATGAGGTATGGCAACCTGGACCGATGCACATATGTGCCTGGTCCTACGTTGTAGCTGACTGACTGACTGACTGAAATATCTCATTTAATATGTTATTTTTCCTTTTTTAAGTGATTAAAGGTAATCAGCATGAAATCCTAGACCTAAGGTCAGTTTTAATTGACATTAATCAACAAAGTATACTCATTATAAGTTCCTTTCTGACCACCTCCAATTACTTAACATCTGAACACGTGATGCTGTGTCACTTAGATTAATGATCACGTTGCAACTTGATCTATAGCATTTGATCACTACTTAAGAACCAAACAAACATTGATGGAAATGATTAAATTCTAAGTTTATTTTTGACCACGAAAAGGAAACCAGCTGAAAAAGAATAAAGCTGATTCATAACCGGGAACTGTTCGGTGACCGCTTTGAACTTAGGTTAGGTCTCTGATAGAACTCATCCTTTATCGATTAACTTAGAGGAGCAAAATCAAGACGTAGCATCATTTCATGAAGTCATTGTTCATTGAACTGAATCCTGTCGATAGATCCAGACTGTATAGTTGGAGTCCGCACGATTATCGTAACCACTGCCTAGAGTTTTTTAACTCGTGTGTCTTTTCCCAAATTCTTGACCGTCAAAATAATTATATATCTCAAAGATTTTTGTGGTAAACAAAAGAAAATACGATTTATTTATATAGCTATTATCTAGAGATGTTTACAAGTTAGGTTAACTTTCGCTAAGTTTCGCGAGTTGTGTTGTAGTCATAGTTATAGTCGGGCTGTCGATGTGCAAGCACATCGCACCGTTAATTGTCCTACACCTGTAGCCTATAAGTGTATTGAGCGTGTACGATTTCCTAATGTTTAATAACAGATGTCTGCAAACTATTCCTGCCATATCACGGAGTCGCCGAGTAGGTTTAAGTATTTGATACTAATTCGTAATTGTAACTTTCTGAGACTGAAGATCTTCGTCAATTAAAGCGGATGAGATGTAACACATTTAATTTCAACACATAATATATATTTACTTCTTTCATAAATGAAGACTTACATATGTAATGAATGATCAAAGTTTTAAATAATTTAATTGGTGTCTTCATAAGGATAATTATTGCCATATATGTACGCGTATACTTCCTTACACTTTTGTGTTTGCCTTATAGGAGTTGGCTGCCACTGAAGGTACACATTTTATGATATTGTTTCGTGATTCTCGATGTCAGTATCGAGCTGTGTATTCCTTCGATTTAGAATCAGAAGAATTAAAAATTATTTGTGGCAATGGGCCAAGACGAATTACACACGAAATGGTCAATCGATTTTTTAAGTAAGTTTTATGTTCATCGTCATCTTCACAATCAAAGTTTTTTCTCTGATCAGGCTGTTTAAAGGACGATATTTTTTGGATTTTTTTTATTAAAATATCTTCCTCAAGCTTACTTTTGAAATGATACGAGATTTTTGTTTGTTGTTTATATTTGTATTAACCGACTTAGAATAATATTTGATTTTTACTCGTATATATAACTTATGCTAGTAGTTTGATCATTACTGTATCACGTTATTGTGTTCAACCGTGTTATGGTCTATCAAATGAAGTTTTCTATAATAAAGTGAATAAAATTAATACCGTACCATTGGTTATTAATGGTAAATATTTCGGTATAAAAATCTTCAACGTTTGGCATAATCCACAATTTCATTAATTAGTAGTATAATAAATCATATTATTTCTTCTTGACATATGCAATTTTCCATGCTCATCTTATTAAGTATTCGTTTGGGATTCGAACTCGGGACCTTCCGTCTCGCACTCCTACGCTTAACTTCTAGACCATGAACTGTCATCTGGCGATGTTAATGTCTAACTAGGACGAAACGGCTGTCCACTGCTTACAAGTTTTCAATAGTGGTCTAACATTGATCGATTCATGATCTCGATTAAAAATCTTAGCGATCTCCACAAACCCATACTGATATATATATATATATATATATATATATATATATATATATATATATATATATTCTGTTTTAACGCTGCTTTACTTCTTTTCAGATATAATAGTGGTTCAAAACAGTTCACTGAAATCACTTCTACAAAACATTTAAGTCCTGTTGTAGACGCTATAACAATTCATGATGCTCTGTGGAGTAAATCATCCGGTGGCGGTACACATACAATTTTATCAAGTCATTGTACCTGAATGAATGCTCATAGTCTGATATTGATTTTTTTCTTATAAACAATAAGAGATAAAGAGCGATAACGTGTATGTTTATGTGTGTGTATGTGTGATAACTTTATATTTCTCATTATTTAATTATTTCCCATAAAATTAATTTTGGTTCTGGCACTTACTGTAATTCATACTGAAATGTTTACTTGTTTATGCGTGTGCGTGTATGTGTGTTCATTAATTCGTCTATAATGTATTCTGACGATAGAAAAATTAAAAAGAAACTAAAACATGGACTAGGAATACTTGTCAAATTTTATGTTCAATTTTTATCAGATAAATATTTTTTCCTTCTATTATTTCCTATTGATTATTAAATAGAATTTCTCACTGTTATTCCCATGGAATATATATATTTATATATGCTTATATTTAAGAGAAGTCCTGTATCATTATTCATTCAAATAAATTATTCACTGTTTATTAGACTGATATTACTTATTGATCAATGAATAATTTAACTAGACCGAGTTTGTTTGTTTGTTTTTCATTGTTCTATGATGAATGTGATGTTTTGTTTTGTTTTGTTTTTCAATTTAATAAAGATTAGTTTACTTATTAAAGTCTTTATTCAAATCTTAATAAATATATTAGTTATTGTTCTTATGAATACTTTTTGTTTTGTTTTGTTTTTATTTACTGATGGTTGGTTGGTAAATAAACTGGACTGTTGCATTTTTCTTTTTCATTTAATCATTGTTGGTATTTTTCACTTAATGTGAATGTACTAGAGTTAATTTTGTGTATCTTATATTTCAAAGAGAAAAAAAACTCCAACTTTTTCTCTTCCCATTTAAAAAAAAAACAAAAATAAATAAATTGTAATTCCTATAAATTAACATGTAACTGGATTCTGAAATGGTTATATTTTTTTAATTAACCATTGGTGAAATTGATTACTGTTACTATTTATACTATTCTAACAGTTGTGATATATGAATTGAATATATATGGCTTTTCATAAACTGTGAATTATATATATATATATATATATATATATATATATATATATATATATATATATATTCGGCACATTTGTATATTTACCGTATTCAAAATGTCTATACATATATACTCTCTCTCACCTTTATTGTTCCAACCTTCATTGGCTTTTTTTCTGTCAGTATAATACAAGTATATTTAAAGTAATAAAAAAAAACAAGAGAAAGAATATTGATTGATGTGTTTTGATGTTCAATGGAAACTGTCAGCTATTATCCGTGTATTCTTTTATGATCTCTTTGGTTTTAGTAATTAGTATTAGTGATAGTTTGTGCTTTTCATTTTAGGTGTTTACATGAATATTAAACACGAAAAGATAATACCTCCTTCAAATTTTCATTTTTCTGTCGTTCCTTTTCTACTCTCTGTTTATAAATATCCTTTATGGACGTGAAAAATTCTTCATAATCATATTCTTATTGAATTCAATGAATTTGTGTTAAACATTGTGATTGCATAACATATACTTCATAAGATTTTCTCATTAACCGGTTGGTTTTATGTGTATGTATGTAATAACTGTTTCACATATAATTATGCTCTATTTATGAAAAGATTTATCTGTCCAAATATTTCAGTTAATTTGGTGGATGAGCTTTTTATTGAGAGTATACTTGTTTTTCACTAGATTTCAGCATTTATACACTTACGTTAGTTCAGAGTGTTGTATATCGTTCATCTATTATGCTGATTCACTCTTGTACAGATCTACAGATAATATTCTAACAGTGGCTTGATGCAAAACCTCAGGACAACATTCAAACAGTTTGCATGGTGCATGTAATAATAGTTTCAGTGTAATGGGACGTAAAACCCATGGCTCTATGCGTGCGGGTCACGCTATTTTTATAGGCATGATTTACGACATGGGTTTAAAAATAATTTGCTATTCAAGTAGAAAGGCGAAATCAGTAGAACTATACGACATGATATTCATGCAGATTCACGAACTAGATATTAAGTAGGTTTGTTTTGTTAGAACTGTACAGTTAATTTACAGTTATAATAATTTACTTAGAAATACAAACTGTCACTTTGGTGAATGTACGTATGTTCCAGGTTTGAGTAGAAGCTCCATAATTATGTGTTCCAATCATGATGATATATTCTTGAGTCCTTCAAAAACAAGGTCAGGTGCTGGAGGTGAGATACGTTGTCCGGACATGCGATCAAGCAGTCACCAGCATACAGGTGCATGAAGTTGAGACCCATAAATATGTTATTGACGAATTTCTGAAAGGGTTGTGCAGCATTTCTCAGTTCGAAAGCTGTGCATAGAAATTCCTAGAGTCCAAAGGAAGTAATGATGGCTCAGAGAAAAATACTTCACCTTAATCAACCACCTGAGCTACAGATCTTCAGCACCTGATATTAGTTGTGCGGAGATGTACAAATACTTATTTATGCCTATATGTCACTACCCCTTAAAAATTCATTTTTTAGAAAGTCGAACGTACTTGTCCTTCTGGTCACTTCTAGTTGCCATCGATTGACGTCATTTGTCTACATCTGATTGGTTCACCATATCAGAATTTCTTGACAGATGTCTTTAGTAATAGGGATAGGAGGTTCATCGACCTACTGCTTAAATTCCAAATGTGGTCTCACGAAATTCGAGTACAATACTCTAAACGTTTCTTCATCTAAGTACTGAGAAGACCTACGGATAGGCAGAAGCCTTTCAGTTGCTCATAGTTTTGAGGTCGTTGCTTATCATGACACCTAAATCTTTATAGTCCATTAATTTAGGTAACACAACTGCACATACTGGTAGTGATATGAATCGTCATAGTTATTTAACTGCTTCACCACACTTGTTATAATTTGTTTTTAGTGACCATCAACCCATCCATACCACCAATGAGTTGAGAGCATACTGTAATACTATTTTATCTGATATACTGTGTACGGGTCTCCAAATCTTTTAGTCGTCGGCGAAGAGTAGGACGGATGAATTTGCTACAGTTTGCAATTCATTTACGTAAGGTAAAAAGAGAAGTGGACCGAGGATTGTGCCTTGGGGGACTCTACTTTCTGTAGGTCCCCACGATGAGAGAACTCCATTTGCCCTTACCCTTTGCCTCCTGTCATCGAGAAAGTTACTTATCCAATCTATGACTGTATAATGGGTTCCAAAACTTCCCAGTTTGAATTTAGAACCGGAATGGAGGACCTTATTGAAGGCGTTACTTATGTTGGGGACGTTAGATCCCCAGAACTCACTTGAAAAATGACCCACTTTTGTAGTTTTATTTAGAAAATTTGAATTTCTTTGTTTAGTATGCTATTTTGTAACTCTCGCGAAGGACGGATTAGTGCTGTATATATACGTTTTGATTTGTGTCTTGTTTTCTGGCTGTTTGCGGAATATAGTTTCCCATTTCGAGCGTAGACTTCTTCCTCTAGTTAGCGGGGCTGGGACGCATCAAATAGCTAGCTTATTGATCTTTGGTCACCGAGTCTTTATTCCGTTCGCAGAAAATAATAACCACTGCAGCTTAGGGTGATAACCACCAAGCCAGGGTACATGCAGTCCAGCACAAAGCCAGATGCATGCCATATTCAACCACTGGAGCCTAGGGTAATAACCACCAAGCCAGGGTACATACAGTCCAGCAAGAAGCCAGGTGCATGCATCATTATATATTTTGGGGTTATGATAATGATCCTTCCGCAGGTTCACCTACGGAAACCTTGTTACGACTTTTAATTCCTCTAAATAGTCAAATTAGGTCATCTCAGCATCAGTCGAGCGGCAACGACATCAATCCAACGACCTCACTAAACCATTCAATCGGTAGTAGCGACGGGCGGTGTGTACAAAGGGTAGGGACGTAATCAGCGCAAGCTCATGACTTGCACTTACCAGGAATTCTTCGTTAACGGGGAATAATTGCAAGCCCCGATCCCAGTCACGACGGTGATGAAACAGTTTGCCCAACCCTTTCGGGTCAGGTTCCCAGACTCGTTGGCACCGCCATTGTAGCGCACGTGTGGCCCCGGACATCTAAGGGCATCACAGACCTGTTATTGCTCAATTTCATGCGACTTAAGTGTGCCGCTTGTCCCTCTAAGAAGTAAAAACTGGCACCGCACCCGCCGGATCACGACCACACTACTCCATAAAGAAGCAATAGAAGCCGCACCCTAAACGAGCACAGAGGACCAGTCTACTATTTAGCAGGTTAAAGTCTCGTTCGTTATCAGCATTAACCAGACAAATCGCTCCACCAACTAACGCCCATGCACCACCACCCACCGAATCAAGCAAGAGCTGTCAATCTTCACAGTGTCCGGGCCGGGTGTGTTTTACCGTGTTGAGTCGAATTAAACCGCAGGCTCCACTCCTGGTGGTGCCCTTCCGTCAATTCCTTTAAGTTTCTGCTTTGCAACCACACTCCCTCCGGAGCCCAAAGACTTAAAGGTTTCCCGGGGACTGCCCGCGATGTCAATTATAGAACCAACGCGGATCGTCAGGTGGCATTGTTTATGGTCAGAACTACGACAGTATCTGATCGTCTTCGAAACTCGGACTCGTAACCGCTTCAAACCTAGCTAGTTTGGCGACGGAGTCGGAGCAAACACGGATCCTTCAAAAGTAGAGTTATTTCTCAAGCAGCACCTAAAACTAATGTAAATGTTAGCAGATACAAAGCTTACGCCTAACACGCAACCAAGCATTTCTAATACTACTACTGCACCGTCAGTTGATGGTATTGCGAACAGTATCTCAGTTTCATTATGACCCTGATTCCAATGTCACATTTGATATGTGGTTTCGACGTTATGAAGACTTATTCAAATTTGACTTCGCTTATCAGGATGATGCTTGGAATGTCCGCTTGCTGCTTTGGAAACTAGGTCCTAGTGAATTAGATAGATATTGCAACTTAATTCTGCCTCTAAACCCACGTGACCGCTCATTCTCGGACACTGTCCAGTCATTGAGCACAGTTTCGAGACAA